CCTAAAGGTAACTTTTCAAAATTAATAAGCATCAGCTGATGAATTACTGAAAAAGGAAAGAAAAGAATTAGACTGTTGTTTGATTCTAATTTGTTATTCTTTTTTTATCAGCGGACACCTATCAACCCACTTACATTGATTCAGTCACTAAGTGACTAAGTGATTTCAATGGTTAAGATCATGAGTCAGTTGAAGCTAGACCACCAGGGAAAACCTGGAAGCACTGGACGACTGTTTCGTCCCAGTATGGGACTCCTCAGCAGTGAACATTCGCCATCCCACTCCCCACGAGATTCTAACACAGGACCTACCAGTCTCGCACGCGAGCGCTTAACCATTAGACCACTGAGCTGGTCGGCATCCAACGGTGTTAATGTCTAACTTCAACCAATCCACGAAGTTGTGCCACCGTAAACCATTGTCTTCAGTGAACTACTATCTCACAACAGACCTGGTTGAACTCCATTGGTCACTACTAAGTGATTATTGTTCGAGGAAACATTTAATTTCTAAGTTATTTCAATAGAAAAATAATTTATAATAATTCTCTAACAATCATCCCACTCTTCCCTTTCTCATCCCTGAAAAAAAACACACCTTCAGACCAATTACAAAACTACAATATTTCAGTTGTCAAAAGAATGTTGAAGATGCCACAGGTATTTGTATTTTGCTTCACACAGGCTTTGTACCATTTAACATTCGTCAGCAAAGTGTATCTACAAACCTGAAGAAACTGATACTCCGTTTGGAATATGAACTCAATCCACTCAGCACCAAAGTTTGAGATTGTATCACTGAGATATTCACCCTGCATAAAACCTTCTGTAAGACCAACTGAATAATCATTGGATCCGAATGTCATAGAGGTTATCAGGTCCTTCAAGACTAGATGTATGCTTAGTTGAGGAGTGTCAAATAGTACAAAAACTTGATCCAGGGTTTGTTATTGATCACTATCAACCATTTAATTGGTTTATTACACAAGTTTCATTACAATTAATCTTCAGATAGCTAATTGTTTTTTTTTTTTTATTTATCAATAATGATGTAATCCAAAGTGATCATAAATTACAGACTGTAAATAATTGAACTTAAATGTACATTTTGCCTTTGATCTTAGTAGTTTATACAATCAAAGTTATAAAGATCATGTATATGAGCAAAAATATCACATAGATACTATAATGCAATAATGATGATATTAGAGGTAAACGAGTAACAGAATAATAAACTTGTTCATGATTATATGTATATATATATATATATATATATATATATATATATATATATATATATATATATATATATATATATATATATATATGTCAAAATACATGAGTATTGATCATCGTTATATTAAATCAATAGAAGACAGAATAATATACTTGTTTAGGCAAATATATTTATTTCTTAAAGCTATATATCACCGGGTAAGTAATAGTGAGGTTAGACGTAGGGTATTAGGGAATGATGGTAAATCAGTTGATAAGGTTGTGAATCTTCATCGACTGAGATATCTGGGTTGCAAAGACGTGCAATGCTGACTAGTGTTGGAGATGGTTGAAAGAAAGTTAAAGGTGGCATCAGTACTTGAAATCATTAACTTCTAGTCTGAGTGGTGTTGGTAGATGCAGACTACTTGGTTGGGGTCCATGTGAATATCGTGATCAATGGTTGAAGATTGTCGGTGACATACCTCAGAATCGATCACAATGGTGTAGGTGTATACACTTTTTGTCTTCCTTTAAACTTTGAGATTAAAATCATTTTATATCTTTCTTTCTACGTACGAAATCTTTATACCTGCACTATATCTTTCCTTTATATATTACCACCATTGAATCAACTACATCTATGAATCCTGACCGTTGTTGCTACCTGACCGTTGTTGCACCTGACCGTTGTTGCTCCTGACCGTTGTTGCTACCTTGACGTGGTGGTCAGGCTTGCCTATCGTGATGAAGCAACTGAGCTATACTGGCTGGAACAACCGTTCCTCAAGGTCCTACCATGCCAGACAGGTCGGTTGAAGAGCGGTAAGACTAAAAGCAACAAAACCAAGGTCCGAAGGCGAAGTCGTACTGCTGACTGTACAGAGTTGTGACAACAGAAAGGTGTTTCCTTCAGACAACCAGCATGACAGCGATGCTGCCTTCCCACAAGGAGGGGTGGGGTTAGAAAAGGTCGACCCTAAAAATGCACACCTCGCCTTATCCCACGGATATCCGTCTCCGGCGGTAAGGACTCAACAAGTACGGAGCTAACACTAAAACTACTCATAAAAAGGTCGTGCGTGACCGACCTCAAGCAGCTGTCCCTTGGGCACTGCGGTCACGCTCTCAGGTCACTATGACCAACTCTAATCCAATTTCCTTTTCAGGTACCTCCAGGAGAACCCTTCCACGGTGTGGGCAACCGGGAAGTGATAACCGCCCTCATACCTCTAACAGCACTCAAGACAATTCATAGTCATGAATCCAGTGTTCGTCTTGGTGTGCTAATGAGGTATGACAACTTGGACTAATGCATATATGTGCCTGGTTCTACGTTGTAGCTGACTGACTGACTGAAAACGAAATTCGACTAACATTCGCTGGATAAATAGTTATCTGAAATAATCACCAATTAGTACTTTTTTTCCTATTCGTTGTGTTCACAGTGAACTATGAATGAAATCATGCTGTTATTGTCCTAGTATTACCGTTTTAGTTAATCTCTATATGAATATTGTTAAAGCTTGGGGGGGGTAGGTATTTATGAATCAATCAAGCATCTGATTATTTATCCTGATCTCTTGAATGGTTAAATGTTTATAAAGAAAAGAATGTGCTTTAATAATAAAGAACCAATTCTACGACTTGATTTGATCACTAATTCCAATGCTGTTGAAGATCAACACTTTCTGATTATCGTTATGTTGACTTGGAATTGTAACATGCTCTCTGGATATTTGAACAGCCAATAAAAATAATTTCTATGTGATGAATGATGTTTACTCTTCCCTACTGACTTAATCAATATGCAATATTATTAACAGAATAGTTAATGCATATTTGTTAGGTCATTGTATTTAATATCAATTGATGAATCCGTTATTATAACAAACTTCTACTTTGGATGGTGGTTGGAGGTAGTCGACAGGAAACCCTGGACCCGGGTTTCGTGCTACTTGGCACTCGTCAGCAAGGTGTACCTGTAATCTTTGAGGGAACTGATTCTCCCTAGCGGATTCGATTCCGTATCACCAAGATTCACAGTCAGAGACGTGTGCCAAGTATCACGAAACACGGGTTCAGGGTTTCCTGTCGACTACCTCAAACCACCATTTAATCTCACAATAGTGCCCGAAGTGTCGAGTCACCTAGACTGGTGGCCACATTGCATCATGGTCGATAGCATTCGATCTACACCAATGATTAGGACTAGACACGCATGAAATTGGTCACTACCTAGTAACCAATCAATTGTGAAACTTCTACTTTGCCTTAGTTTCCATTATGTTGACTATGTTTGACAAGGTATATGTGGTAAAACTTAAATTAGATAAGAATATAAACCTCAACATTGAATAAAATATAATGAGGTTTCAAATAGTATAACACAAATAACATGAATATCGGCATTATTATCAGTATAATTGGGATTGGGGATAAACTCTTGTTGATAATTTTAGCATTACACCTGATAACCAATCAAAATGTATCGGACAAAACGGTGGTCCAGTGCTTCCAGTTATTTCATAGTGGTCTAGATTCAATTGACTCATGATCTTAACCATTGAAATTACTACAATCTCCACAAAAACCCCTTCTCATATTAATCAACATATACTCATTAGTGACTGACTTCAAGAGGTGTTTCCAAGAGTTCTAGTGAGAAGCAATGACCAGTGGAGTTCAACCGGGTCTATTGTGAGATAGTAACTCACTAAAAACATTGATGGATGTGTTGCTCTATTTCGTGGATTAGTTGTAGTTAGACATTAACACTGTTTGATGCTGATCAGCTGAGTAGTCTAGAGGTTAAGCGCTCACATGTGAGACTGATATGTCCTGAGTTTGAATCTCGTGTGGCGGGATCATGGATACGCACTACTTAAGAGTTCCATACTAAGACGAAACAGTCATCCAGTGCTTCCATGTTTTCTATTGTAGTCTAGCTTCAATTAACTTATGATCTCAACCATTGAAATTACTATGATATTCTTAAAAACACTACCACATATTTAGATAACTTCACAATGTAGAGTTTATCCTTATTTTAAAAGCACACAACATAAAATAACCATTTTAATGATAATGACCTATCATTCTACTTGTATTATACTGTACACAAACAAAATATAGGCATACACTTAAACAAAGGGGTGTATGAGTATTTATCTTATCATTTACACAATAAACATAACAAACTTTACTCTACCGATTGTCAATATTGTTGTATGAACTAATCATAGTAATAAATTTAATGAGAGACATTCACTAAAAGGGTATATATAATTTGCACAGAGAAACTATCATTATGATAATGATTAACCAGGATCATATACATTCGTATATTATTACATGTCTAATATTTAATTTTAAAAATTGAACAGATAGATAGATAGATAGACAGAAAGACGGAGTAAATGTTGGATAGTGACTAGTAGGTTCCTATGTACCTACACACAACCACCTACCCACCCCTACACACAAACACATAAAGATTGTGTTAAAATCATACCTTTAACAATCACACGTGAACACCATGCACACACAACACACACACACGCACGCACACTAGATATTGTGCAGACATAGACTTGGATATGCACACACACACACACGAATAAAGGGATGTATTCTCTCAGCAATATTAATAATAGTAATATTACTACTACTACTAATAATAATGATATAAACATATTATTGGAACTACTCAATCGATAAAACAATAGTGATTATTATTTTTCTTGAAAAAAAATCCAATAAAACAACCACAACCACCACCTCCACCACCACCACCACAACAACAACAACCACAGTAACAACACCAAGTAAGAATATAAATTTAAATGAACTAAATAATCAACGATTAAATAAAAAGATATGTCTTCTTATTGTTATTTATATTATTCATTACTGATTACAATCATTCAATCATTATAATATTACAATATTCATTATTATAAACACACAGAGGGAGAGAGAGAGAGAGAAAGGATTCAAGTGACTAAACAACATTGTTACCAACTAAAAAACAACAAAACTCTATAAAGAGTGTGGTCAATAATTTATCATTCTCTCATTAAAATCTTGTGTTTTTCTATAATATAACCAGTAACAAGAGGAGTGGTAAAATCAACTGGATATTGTTCCAATTACGGGGAGGAAATTTCAAAAAAGAAAAACAACAAATAAAAGAAGGTAAGTACCACCTTTTTCTATTTGTGTATTTATTTAAGTGTTATATAAGTATGATTTTTGTTTCTATGATCAAGTGGTTTGAAGAGAGGCTCCAAATGAAATGGTATGGCCGAGAGTGGGGGCAGTCCGCTCTCCCTCTCGAAATGTTCTTTTCGAAATGACCTCTTATAGTCATATGTATACAAGGTACTGTCAGAGAAGTCCTACTGATTATCTTCTCGTACCACGGGTGTTGTTTACGAAATTGAGAGGATGAAAAGCGAATATCTTGCAGGAGCTGTAACCAGGTTGGTGGATATAGAGGATCCGCATAGGGGAGTAGGAAAACCTTGACTTCAAACCGATGGTGCACATAGGCTCCAGTATCCTGAAGGAGCAAATACTGTATGAACCAATTGTTGATCACCGGTTACCATGGGTGTGCATCTAGTAACGTTCGTCCACTGCCTTGTAGATAAGACCTATAGGTCGAAGGCTCCAGTTGTGATCCCTTAAGAAAACCATCTACTTTGGTTTAGGCATCCGTGCAGTATCACAGCGCTCACACAAATGAAATGAGATTTATCAGGCGCATATGTAACTGGCGTTTAAATAAATAAATAAAAATAGAGGCCAGTTTTTTCTGCACTGATTCACATTACTTATAGGCTCATTAAAAATAAGAGAAAAGCTTCATTATAATATAGGACTTTTTTAGGAGTAATTATTGTAATGATAATAAAGATTGTCTCTCAATGTTTCGGAATGGCACGAACCAAGAAGACTGCTCGTAAATCAACCAGAGATAAGGCACCAAGGCTGCATTCAAAAGCGCCTCAGCTACCGGGGGCATAAAGAAGTTACATAGGTACAGATCTGGGACTGTCACCCTCCGAGCCATTAATCATAATAATAATAAATCCGAATTCTCTTAAAACACTTTTTGAATCGTGAATTGGTTCGTTGAAATTTCATTTATAGTTTTTGTCAAGTTTTGATCTCGTACGAGTAATCTATGTAACCCTAAGAAGAGAAAAAATAATCATTATAGAGTAGATACACTGACCCATGAATTGCAAGTTAGCAAAATTAATATTTTGAGAAGATGTATTCATTTGAATATATTGTTAAGATTAGTTCATAATAAAGATAACTTTTTACCATAGGTTGACATCGATTGACGAGTCATTGGTTGTTAAGGTGCATTGAACAGTTATTTTGTCTTGGTACGGATCCCTTCATTATTGTACACTCTCATACACTAGAGTATGTAGGGACCACTAAGAGAGTAATCCTGAAGTTAGACACAGAGTACTGAGTAGAGATAACAAATCGATTGATAAGGTGGTGAATTTTCATTGACCAAAGTGATTGGGACATATATTATGTAAGGCTAACAATCACATATACTGGTAAGCGGCCTATGATACTCCATGAGGGGTAACATGCGTAACCAACAAATTAAGTAAGGAACTACCACCTACTTGCATCGACTTTGTTTACTGGTGTAGGAGCAAGTTTGAATAAGACTCCACATGGTCAAACTAAAACGAATTATCTCTTCCTGAAATTATCAATTTTGAATAAAGCCAAAACAACAATTGTTATTTTTTCTTTTCTAAATTACCTTTGTGCTAACCGATAATACGCGTCACGGGAGGATCGAATATATATCTCAGACATCTTACGTAATAAATATTCACGGGCCCACAAGCCTATTTCACAACTCTTTCTGGAAACATATATCAAACCACAGAATTACAAATACCGTGATTCGATGACTTATATGCAGTGCTTAGATGACATCTATGAGTGAATATTTTCAATATATCATATCATTCACTTTAACAGTCCAAAAGTAATACAGATTTATTTAGTACATAGTATACTGACTATTCTGTAGGGTGACTGATACGCCACCTGTGTCACACACGGAGGAAATACTGAAAATTTCAATGAGCTATTTCTTTCCGTACTACGATTTTATCAGCCAGGATTGGTGACGTGGTCAAAGTACTCAAATAAGACCTTAACACAGACCAGCGAAGAAATGACACTTTGTTTATCTCAGTGGAGACAGACGTATCCCATGTGTTCTGTCACCGTTACTCATGGTATTCAAAACGCCCTGAATTTGGTCAATATATTAACTAAACAAGACCACCTTTTACTCGCTTCATTATGGTAGTAGTTCGCTAGAATCATACCACTGTTAAGATTGAAATTCGAATCAATTTATATTTGATTTTCACGATCATCGATGATTTCAACAAAGAATATATATGTTAAACTTCAGTCAGTTCGTAGTACCCCATAGCTATCTTACAATATAATTGGTGTGTAACTGCCCTTCACTCGATAATGTTGATCTCTAGTGGTCATTGCTTCTCACTAAATCTCTGGAATTACTTCTTGAAGACAGTCACTAGTAAGCACATGATGAATTACCATTTGGGTTCTACGGTGATATTTTAAATTTGTATTAATTTCTTATTTTCTTTGGTTGTTTAACTAAGATCAGTTCATATTGTTAACTATGAAATTAAAAAAACCCTCCATAAATCCCCTATGGTGAACAATTTAAATCAGCGTCTAATACCTAACTTCTCTTTTTTGCGACGAGAACAACTATTATCAAGAAAGACATACTTACTTACTTACTTACGCCTGTTACTCCTCGTGGAGGGGCGAAGGCCACCCGCTAACGCTCTCCATCCAACCCTGTCCTGGGCAATACTTTCCACTTACTATTCACTCTTTTCATACCTGCTTCCGTTTCCCGACGTAATGTGTTCCTCGACTTTTTTTTTCGATTTCCTTCAGGATTCCAAGTTAGCGATTGCCTAATGATTCAGTTTAATGATTTTCCACATGTATGTTCTATCCAATTCCAATGTCTTTTCCTAAATTCCTCTTCAGACAGAAGCTGGTTTTTCCTCTCCCACAGTAGGCTGTTTCCGATGGTATCTGGCCAACGGATATTGAGTATCTTACGTAGAAAATTGATTACAAATACCTGTACCATTTTGATGATGGTTGTAGTAGTTCCCCACGTTTCAACTCTGTACATTAGGACTGTCTTGACGTCTCTATTGAAGATTCTCACTTTGATATTGGTTGACACCTGTAGCTATTCTAGAGTTACCACTGGTCTCAAGCCAGGGTAAAGAAGGAGGTTTGGGCATAAAATCGCCAATCAGATTAAACAAATCAAGAAAGAAGTCAACATTAAAATGATTGATCTTGTTTATCCAAATTAGTTCTCCTTCATTAACATAATTTACTATTTTTCAAAGTTGAATTCATGAATCAATCTAAGCTAGACTATCATTGAGAACCTTAAAGCACTGAATGTCTGTTTCGTCCTAGTATAAAACTCTTCAGTAGAGGGCAGTAAATAAATCCACACAATTTTTTAAAAAATATTGTTCCTTATTATTGACTTCCATCGATAATTCAATCTCAGTAATGAACTTATTGATTAAGTATGGAATGGTATCTATAAATATGATCTTATTCAAGGTCACTATTTCAGGATATATACACTATAACTATAGTATATGTTAGTAAATATGGTGCTGACTGAATATAGAAGTGATAAAGTTATTAAATGAGTGCTAGTCTTATATGTTAAACTAAATCTATTAATTAGAGTCCAGTTTTATTTATTTATTTATTTGAATACATAGATATTGATAGAAGAGGGCACAAGAGACATATGTGCCATACCAATCTCATTTCATTTGTGTGAGGGCTGTGATACTGCTCGAGTGCCCAAACCGAAGTAGATGGTTTTCTCAGGGGGTCACACTCGGAGCCTTCGACCTAACAGTCTGATTCACAAGGCAGTGAAGTAACATAAAGAGATACAGTCTTATGGCAGTCAGTGACCAACGATTGGTTCATATGCCATTTGTTCCCTCAGGATGCTGGAGCCCATGTGCACCATTGGTTTGGAATCAGAGTTTTTCAACTACCCTAGGTGGACTCTCCATGTCCACCGATCTCGTCAAAGCGACGGACATTCACTTTTCGTCCTCTCAATTCCGTAGACAACACCCCCACCATGAGAAGGCGATGAGTAGGACGTCCATGACAGGGGCCATATACACATGGCCATGTGAGAACATTTCGATAGAGATAGCGGATTCTTTCCACTTTCAGCCGTACCAGGGCATTCTGAGGCAGAGTTCAGTTTACAATTATAATGTTTATTGACCCACTAATATTACTAAACCATTTTGTCCAATTCTATATCATTGGAGGTAGCTAGTGTTAATTTATGCATTTCAATGTCGTATTTGGTATCACAACTGATAGGTTCTGGTTTTGAATTCCACGGGACGAAATCGTAGATACACACTACTGAGGAATCCAACACTTGGCTGGAACCGCCATTCAGTGTTTTCAGGTTTTCCATGGTGGTCTAGCTTCAGTTGACTCATGAATTTAACTATAAAATTATTTTTTAATCGATTGAACTTATACTAGTTCTGATATACGAACGTATTGTTGCAGTTGTTAAGTGATCTTTGAATTCAATTTTGAAAATTTATTATTCATGTTTACCGTGATCCTCGAATGAGCAATGGTGAATATTACATAGGGGCAATATATCCATTAGATGAGAAAAAAATACTTTAATTTGATGTGAGGTATAGATTAAAAATAGGGACATCGGTTACTGTAGATGTAGAACATCATTGTCTTATGTGGTTGGAATGTGTGTTGAACAAACTTAGCCACCACTAATACTGATGTGTAGTGGTTAGTAACCAGAAATATGATGAAATATTGTTAAGAGAAGACAAAATACAGGATATGTTTGCCCATAAAGTCAGTAACTGTTGGCTTAAATCGTATATGTAGGTACAAAGTTCCCTATTAGATCTTCTGTGATTATCATAATCAATGAATCGACACTTTCAGAGTAACATGACTCATAATCTATAACAGTGCCTCAAGTGTATTGATTAATTGTTTACTTAAAAAACCTCAAGTTTATACTTTTCATTCACTCG